CTTTAAGAGATAGTTTCTTTTTAAGGGGTTTGTGTGTGCCTATTCTTAAAATGTTCCGGCGTGTTGCACAGAACCCCACCCTGTTTTGACTGGGCACCCTGGTACCTTTCAGATTCAATTCTTCCTTCGGTTGTACCTTCTGTCGACCCAGGCAGACCGCAGCGATGTGGCCTTTCTTCCCGCACGCTCGGCAAATGGCAGAACGGAACTGACATTCCGCTCGCTTGTGGCGTCCACCGCATCCAAGGCAACGAAGCTCAGCTGGGCCCTTGTCCTGACAATCTTTGGACCTCCTCCCAGCTGCTTGGTAAAGCTTGTCGACCTCTTCTTCCGAATCCTCTCGCACGTCTTCCTTGTGGATGGTGGCGGTCTCTGGAGCGCTTCGATTAGGCCGCATGTTCTTGACCGCCCCACCTGCAGCTTCTTCTGCTGAAACCTCTCGCAGAGCATCTTGGAAAGAGACATCTTCCTTGGCGAACAGCTTCTGCTGTAAGTCTCTGTTCCTCAGTCCGCACACAAAACGATCACGCAGTCTTTATTTATTTATTTATTACATTTCCTCTAAGTCCTTGAAATCACACGGTTTAGCTGCTCTTCTCAAAGCTGCAATGTATTCTTTTGCTGATTCCCCAGCTCGCTGATCCCTCTGTTCAAATGTGTGCCTCCAAGCCATGACAGATTGCTTGGGCTGGAAGTGTTCCTTTAAAACTTTCTTCAGATCGGAGTATGACACCGTTTCCAGCGAGGCTGGGGCGATTAGGTTCTCGGCGATCTCAAAGGCGTCTTGCCCACAAACACACAACATTGTGGCAGCCTTTAAGCCTTCCTCCCTTATCTGGTTTACGCGGAAGTAAGTCTCGACTCTTGCAACGTAAGATTCCCACTTCTCGGGGTGAGAGACGTCGAATTCCGCTAAACGCCCAACTTTCGCCATGATCGAGGATCAGGGTCTTCTTCAGCCGCACGCACCCTCCAGTGATTTCGTACTGGCAGGATAAACGCTGACTTCAACGCCATTTTTCCTCTTCCGGACTTCTTTGGGTGAGTCTTCAAGCTTCCCTAGCTGTATGGACTGAATCCCACCTTTGTCGCCAGTGTTAAGTCCAGAGAATAATGGCGCTTGAGACAATGCATTTCTAACAAGTCTTTATTCTCTGCTTCCAATCTACGAACAACCCGAGCAGAGGCACGCAGGCCTCTATTTATACCTTCTGATCCCCGGGCAAATCCAACCAATCACAAGGCGGTCTTTTCCAGCCTTGCGCATGCGCGCAAGGCCGGCGCCACTCAGTCTGGTCCCGGGCAGCTTTTGCAAATGCCCGGGACTCTTGCAACGTCCCGAGCCTGCTTTTGCAGGCTCGGGACACAACAGAATCCATCTTCATTTGTTTTTAATGGACAATTAACCAGTGGAACAGCTTGCCATCAGAGGTTGTGGGTGCTCCATCATTGGAGGTTTTTAAGAAGTGATTGGACAGTCACTTGTCTGAAATGAAATAGGGTCTCCTGCTTAGAAGACCTTCAAGGTCCCTTCCAGCTCTATTCTAATTTGATTAATTAATTGATTGATTGATATTCCATTTGAGGGTTAAAGCAAAATTATACAAGCTTTAAGGAACATTATTGTTATGATCCTTTGAATCCATCTTGATTCCTGGGTGCCTGTATGGACAGATTCATGCAGTTTTCTTGGCAAATTTTCAGAAGTTGTTTTCTAGTGTTTTTTTTCTACAGTACCATCTTCTGAGGTGTTTTTTGATGTCCTATTCTAGAGGCTGAGAGAAAATGACTGACCTAACTTGTTTCTATGCTTAAAGAAGGACTAGAATTCAAGGTTCTCTGTGTCTAGTGCCCCTTGTGCCTTTAATGACTATACCAAATATAGTTTTATTTATTAAAGATTTCTATCTCTCCCTTCAACACCCTTTTTCTGAGTTGTACACAAATAAATCAAAATACTATTTATTCACATCTAATTACAGAGGTCTGGAGTCTGTGATAGTATAATATATACAGAACCCCTGCCATACTAACTCAAACATAAGGACCTCAAGGATTAAATAAATAAGGCAACTGACAGATTTTGTAAAAGCAATCCAGAAAACAGAAGAGTTCCAAGAATTGGGTATTTCCTTCAAAGATTTATTAAGCAGATAATGATGCTTCTGAGGAAGCATCTGGGCAAGGTAGATACCAAAGAAATCATGCTTACATAATCATTAAGCTTAGATAGATAGCACAAGAAATCCCGGAGAAATATGATTCATAAACGTTCCTCTTCTCACTCCAATACTAATGTTTTAGCACTTTCCTCAGCTCTTCATTAGGAGAATTTAAAGAATTTGGGGGCCCAAATAAGATCTGATTTGGAGCTGTTTCTTCACAGAATCTTAGATTTTTATGAAAAGAGAGGTTAACATTATGGTTTCAAAATGGAATATTCCCAGAATCTGTATTAAAAATTAAACACGTACCTGGAAGAAATATCTAAATATTTACTATTTTTATATTTTAAGAATCAAATTCTTCTTTGGCAAAGAAAAAGAAAATGTTTTTTATATCTGAGATGATATGTTCTTTATTTTCTGTCCTGTAATATTGCTATTAGTTTATCAACATTCATGAGCACTATGAACCCCATTCTTGTCAAAACAAGTCAACTGCTTTTGTCTCATTGTAAATCTTAGATAAATTTTTATTAGTCAGTTCCTGAAATACACATGTATAGCAATTTTTGAATGTACTAATTACATTTGGAAATGTATATTGAAGCAATTACATGCTTCAATAGGCAACACAGAACAGCAAAAAAAAAAAAACCATCACCATGGAAATCTGCCTACTTCAAAAAGTAATTTCTTGGTGTCCATTTGTTCTCTTTTTCCATCCATTAGCAAATAATGGTCTCTGGGAATACCTGAACACACAATTCCAAAGCTTACTTTGCACAAAATTTGCAGGAAAAAACCAGCATCTGCAAGCAGGCCTTGAGTATCCTATTAAGAACATCTGAAATAGCATAACATAGTTACTTTTGCCTGTTGCTTCCTCCCCACCATCCGCCCTTTGGGGGTAGCATTACAGCTATTGTTATTTTTGGTGGTTCTGCAAATGCCACTGCTGCTGCTACGAAGCTGCCATTTCTCATTGGCTACTAGCTGGCAAAGCAAATAGTAATTGCCTATAGTTTGCCATAACTCCTTTGCTTGTTTGCTTGCCTGTTTTATTATTAAACCCACATATAAATAAGATGCTTTTCCATTTTTATTTAAAAAAACACAGTCTGTTTGTTAGATATTAACTGTGTTTCACATGAGCAAACTATGTGTCCTTGCATATCTGAAGAACCTAGCCTGTGTAGTTGTTATCTGGTTTCCTGTATTATGCAAACCTCCAACATTGAGTTAATTGGATAAATATAGTTTAACTATGGGTGAGAATGAGAGAAAGGAGGAACTATAGATAATAGTCAATTCTGTGCACTGCCAGCTGCAAGGAAATTCATTCCTATATGAGTCAGTCTCATTGCAAAGTCTTCAAAACACATGCTGTCCTTGACAGAAATGGCTACAGGACAGAGAGAAAGAGTTGATTGCAGAAATTCAAGGTCATTTATATTTAAGAATACATTCAAGTAGAATGTAAGCTTAAAGAAGAATGAAATACATATGATTCATTAATGCATGGTTCCAAGGGAATGCATTGTTTTTCTTTTTTCTAACTTTGCTTTCTCAATCATATATATTATGTAAGCCATTAACAGCAAGGAAGCAGGGAAGGATGAATTCTTTTCACAAAGAAAAGAAAGTATCTGTTTCTAAACCACATTTAGCCTGAAATCTCACTCAACATGACATTATCCCAGAAACCAGTTCTGAAAAAAAAATCCCATTAGCAAGTGGAATGAGGACTTAAATCCTGCTGCATCAGACCAATGATCTGTCTACTTCTGCATCTTATTCCCTGTAGTGATAGATCTCAAATGTGTTCAGTACTCTACAGCAGTGTTTCTCAGACTCTGCAGCTTTAAGATGTGTAGATCTCTTAACCAAATATGCATTCTCAACCAATATTTTGGCTGGGGAATTCTGGAAATTGAAGTCCACACATATTAAAGGTACTGAACTATAGTCTTTTAGAACCATCTTTGTGAATAGATAGCAAAAGCACTTTTATGAAAAATACTGATCAGATAATTGTTGTGAGTGACTATTATGAGACTAGCGTATTATGGGGTTCTTTCTGAGAATCTCATAGCAGAGATACTCAACTACATTGTTTGGGAATTTGTCACTGAAAATTCTTCAGAAGCTGCAGTTTGTACAGAATGCAGCTACCAAAATTAACTTGATTTCATATTGCCAATTTTAAAAGATCACAATTACCTCTTCCTTGTTTCCAGGTCCAGCTCAGATCATAATGCTAGATTTCAAAATCCTAAAAATTGTGGGAGGTCAGTGGTTAAAAGAGCATATAATCCTATTTCAACCCATCTCTACTTTAAATAATCTGCTGGTGGTAAACAGTCCTCTCTCTATGTAGGTGGATGGAAAACTGATGGGAGATATTTGTTGGTTGCAGTAAATTAGTTAAGAAATACCAGTAATGCTGTGGTATACTTGAGACCATCACTATCTTGTAGAAATCAGCAAAACCTGATCTGTTCTAATCTGTAGTATCTATATGTTATACCTACCACTTTTCAGTTCTTTGTTTTTGCTATGACTTGTCCTGGAATCATTTTTTTTCATGAAAGGTACCATATAAATACTTGAAGTAAATAAAATAGATTTTCACATGGGTTATTAAAAACTATGTTTGATGGCTAAGAATTTCTCTGCCACATGAAGCAATAAATTGTTCAGTCTATACTAGATAATCTTACTGTCAAAAAAGCTCATTTACTTGCTTGCTCAGCTTTCGAATCTGTTTTCTTCCCATTGCAGATTTTTAAAGAGCACCCTCTGAAAGAAGTGTATACAAACATCACCTTTTCCAGAGATGAAGAACCAAGGGGTCCTGCACCAAATACTGCTCTGCTTTCTCTGGTGCTGATGGGAGGAACATTTTTCATTGCTTTCTTCTTGCGCAAGTTCAAGAATAGCAGCTTTTTCCCTGGCAGGGTAAATTGTGCTTAGGGCTTGGATGAAATAGAATTTTTGCTTAGACTTTTGAAAGAAAGGAACTTAAATCTGTACCTGCCTACAAGGGTTTGATCTGCTGTGTTCTATCCATCATTTGAATTAAGTGCACTATAAATTGAAGCTGTGGGCTGCTGGGAGAAAGGTTTTAATTATCAGCTTAAGTTACAATTATTATAGTAGAAAATGCAAAGTGTTTAATAATCAATGGAGCAGCAATTCATGTAGACTGAAATCTACTTACCCAGAAATAAATCTTACTGAATTCAAAGAGGCTTGCTATTGAATAAGCATACCTATGATTGCTTTAATAAGCCACAAAAAGTTATTTCACTGAATGACTCTCCTGAGAATAAATAAAAATAAGCTGCTTTTCTGCAATATTCAAACTGATATTTAAATGGACAACCACAGAATTGGATGGTTTGTAATGAACATGCAAATATATCAATTGAGCATAAGGCTCTCAGTTTAAAAACCTACCTACTAATGTGTAAATCTACAAAGGTGGATTTAAAAAATACAGACATATAGGGAAAAAGGAGAAAATATATAGGTTTTAAACAAAGGGAAGGGATTTCAGTTTCCTACAGAACTCTTTTCTTATGGTATTTAGCACTGCAATTTTGTATATAGAATTCACAAGGATTACTTTCAAGGACATAGATGTAGATCCGGATCATTCAGTAAGTCTGCCATTCTATCATACTTGCTAATCAGAATCTCAGTTAGAATGGAACCTTTGTATAAATACACCCAGAATGTATTGTGCTGCAAGAGGAATGGGACATTTTTTGTATAGTGCATGTATTGACTTAAGTAGCAAAATGAACATAAATTGCATGATTTTTTATTTTATTTTATTGATATATGTCAGATGAAAGTCCCAATATAATACATATGGAATTACTGTAATTCTCCAACGTATAGATGTCTGTTCCATCAATTAGGTTTAAAGAAAAATAATACATTAGTACACATACTGGGTGTAGCTGAATTACAGTTTGCAGATCTCTGACAATTGCTCATGGTAGCTAGAGCTGCTGGGAGTTCAGCACTGTTTGAAGGTCCACGGGTTTGAATCCTACATTAATAATCGGTGTGTGGTTATTTCCACACTAGCAATTTCTAGCATCTTTATAGTCATTGAACCATAATTGGGCCAAAATAATAGTAATGATGATAGACTTTACATCATTACAGTGATAGCTGACGGCATTGTGAAAGTTCTACCAGCTGCTAATGAGGAAATTTCCTCTAAGAACAATTTTTTAAAAGTCCCCTGTTCTTACTATGCATAAAGGCGGCCATGATTTGGATTTTAGAGCAGAGTTTCTAATGCATTATTATCTTTTCTTTCAAATGTAGTATGGACAGCAACCTAGAAGTTGGGAATATCTTCTCTACTTCTGATTCATCAACGCACCTTCTTCCCTATCCCCCAATCATTCTTGCCAGGTTAACATACTTCTTATTTTTTGACAGCTTCGTCGGGTAATTGGTGACTTTGGTGTCCCTATTGCCATCTTTATCATGACATTGGCAGACAATCTTATTAAAGATACCTACACTCAGGTAATTCTTTTTTATTTCTTAATGTAGCTCCTTCCTCCTAATTTCGTTTCTAGTCTAATGCCCTTTCTGTGCAAAAGGGAAGGAAAGTGCTCATACACAATCCTCCTCTTGGAATGATCAACCTGATCATTTTTCAAGAGAGTTTGCGTTGGAGATTTAAAATAAAATAATAGAATGACAATCTGCCCACCATTCCAAATACAGAAGTTAGCTGCAATGGCCATTGAATCTGATTTCAACCCTGAAAATGGAAAAATTCTTATACTGCATCAGAGGTCTTGAGGTGAACAGAAAACCCTGTAGGCTTGTAGTGAATGGAAAATTGAAAAGAAATTCAAAAGGGCCATCGAATCTTCCCCTTTGGTATCCATATCCAAAGGGAAAAGTTCTACTGTGTTAAATGACTGGGGTGGTCCTGGTTTCCATACTGGGATCAGCAAGATCCTGACAGATCTAGGGACCATTGATTTTTTTCTCTTCTTCTGTTGCTTTTCCTAGAAATTGAAGGTTCCCAAAGGCCTTCAAGTCTCCAATCCTGAAAAGCGGGGTTGGTTTATCTATCCAACTGGAATTGCATTCCCCATCTGGATGATGTTTGCTGCAGCTTTGCCAGCTCTCCTGGTTTTCATTCTCATCTTCTTGGAGACACAGATCACCACGTAAGAAATTGGGGAAAGATGAGAAAGATGGGATAAAATGAAGATAAGTGAGGATTGACCCAGGAATGAAGTAGATCAAAAAGTAGATCAAAAAGTAGATCAAAAATAGATAAAGAGAGAGAGAGAAAAGAAAGTCAGGATGCAAGAAATGGATGATTATGTGGTTCCAATTTTACATTGATTTCATTTCAATTACAGAATAAAATATGTAGATGCAAGTTTGACAGAAGATGTTTTGGTAGATCCTGATAGCAGAGAAGTCAGAGCTATAATACAATATTAACATAGCAAATAAATATTCTATTTTAATTTTTGCTGCTGCTTCAGGCTGATTGTAAGCAAACCTGAGAGGAAGATGCTGAAGGGTTCAGGTTTCCATCTCGATCTCCTTCTTATTGTTGGAATGGGAGGTATTGCACCACTTCTGGGCATGCCCTGGCTGAGTGCCACCACCGTGAGGACTGTCACACATGCTAATGCTCTGACAGTTATGTCCAAGACTACTCTGCCAGGAGAAAAGGCCTGCATTCAGGAGGTCAAGGAACAGAGGGTTACTGGTTTCCTGGTGGCTATTCTTGTGGGTGAGTTTTCCTACAAAAGATTCCATTGATCGTATTTATTTTATTTATTTCACGTTTTATAAGTCTGTCTAACTCAGACAGTGTGACTTTAATCAGCATGCAACATAGACACCCAATACATTTTTTAAAAAATGAAAGCTATCTATAATTATAAAATGTAAATGTAAAATGGCAAACAAGCACACAACAAAATAGCCACAAGCGGGACTCCCACTCTTCCAGCCCCTAATGCCTGAGGAAGGTGCCAGATCTTAAGGACTTTCCTAAAGGCGAGCAGAGTTTGGATCTATTGTGTATTGGCAGTAGTAGGAGATGGTGCCATATAGCAGGGCAATAAAAAAGGCACATTTCTTAGGACCCTATAAGATGACAAGATTTAAAAGAAAGAACTGTCACTGATGGAGTATGTGGGTTGAGCCAAGGTTCTTGGGAGAAGGCAGTTCCCCAAGTAATCTTGTCCTGTGCTATGTAAGACTTTAAAGGTAATCATCAACACATTTAATGATTGTCAAAGGATTAGCTTAAAACAGCCTACATCCTGTTCATGTTTAAAGTAGTTAAACAAAAAATGATGTGCCTTTTCAAAAAAATAAAACAGTAGGTGATAAATGCAGATACAGGTGGTCTTCAACTCAGAACCATTCATTTAGTGACTGTTCAAAGTTCAACAGCATTGAATAAGTGATTTATGAACTTTTTTCACATTCTCATGGTCATGCGATCAAAATCCAGACTCTTAGCAATTGGCATGTATTTATGACGGTTGCAGCATCCCAGGATCATGTGATCATCTTTTGTGACCTTCTGACAAGCAAAGTTAATGGGGGTAGCCAGATTCACAACTGTGGCAAGAAAAGTTATAAAATGGGGCACAACTCTCTTAACTCTCTTGCTTAGTAACAGAAATTTTAGGCTGTGGTCATAAGTCGAGGATTACCTGTGATAAGGCTTGAACAGTGTTTTGCATTATCTTAGGGCTTGCTTGCAGTGCATATATAGAACTTGCTAGGTTATAGATAAATGAGCTTTGGGAAACTCCTTATTCCCATCATATTCAATTTAGCTGTTCCTCCTGTTGTAACAAGAAGTTGTAATCATTTTTAAAATAGCTGAATGTATAACTGTTTAACCCAATATGCAAAGTGGACAGCTCATACATTCAGGGGAAACATATATCTTTGATAAGCCAAAACTGGAGCCTGGTGATTAGGAAGACGGATTGCTGATTTTGGGCTCTGCTTGAGAGTGTCTTCTTATCCCCAACTGATACGAGTAAGAAGAACGGTAGGCAAGATTACTTTCATTATCTCTTCAGATTGGGAAGGAGAATGTTACAATTGTTCCATTCCAATGGAGTGATGCATGTGCATTGTAAAATCTTTAATTACATTCATCTTTTAAAATTAAATCTCTTTAATCTGCAGCATTGTCTTTTGCTTACCTACAGGCCTGTCCATACTCATGGAACCTATCTTGAAGCTGATTCCACTTGCAGTACTCTTTGGCATCTTTCTTTACATGGGGGTGACATCTCTCAATGGAATTCAGCTATATGACCGCATACTTCTCATGCTGAAGCCACCGAAATACCATCCAGATATATCTTATGTTACAAAAGTAAGCTTTGAAGGCATAACTACTACATTTTTCTTGAGCTGTGAGCTTGAGAATTGCTGAAGTGGGGAAAACAGATAAATCCATGGGTCAAGAAGTTTGCTCCTTAAATATTAGTCCCTGATCTTGTCTATGACTTCTACATAGAGTGTTAATATTACTTCTACTTCCTTGGGAAACCAAGGTGATCTTCTGCATTAGTTGTAATGCAAATGGAAAACTGTTTTGCAATTTGTAATGTTGGGATTCTGCAAAGTTTGAAGGTGAATCATTTTCCGATTTACAGGAACTCTTGTTTTATCTTGTCATTTCCCATCTGAAATTTCATGATCATATCAGTAAACTAGATTTTGATCTTTCTTATCAGTTTCCAGGTAGTTTTACTACCCTTGTAAAAAAAGGGCTATTTTGTTGATTTCCCCCTGCTTATATAAAAGTCCACATCAAAATTCTTGCTGCATTCTGCCTCTGGATTCAAGTGGGCATATAGTTCTGACTTCCAATGCCCATTCATACAGAGGCTTTACACTAAAACCCTATAACCATGATTATAGCTGTTGGAAAAAGAACTTGGCTATAGCATCATGATGTCATGGCTTCATTACTGTTTTCAAGGAATATATATATTCAGAAAGACTATTCTCATGGGAGACATTTGTGAACAGCTAGAAAACCTGAGATGACATAAGCAATTTATTCCCTCCTCCATTTTTATGTGGTATAGATTTTGATTGCTCCAGGAACAGCTGTAGCTCAGGAAGCAAAGCAGCAATCAAAGATTTTTGCCCTCTGCTACTGGATGACTGGAAGTTGAAATATCTTGCTTGTTCTCAGTGTTGCAATCACGGGAGGGGTTGGGAGAATAAAATAGTGACCCTTGGAAGTGTCTGTAGACAAGCCAAAGATGTAATGGAAATATATACTTCTTTCTGGACTTTGTTTACCTATCATTAAAGTATTTATTATTTGTTTGTTTATTTATTACATTTCCATACCACCCATCTCAACTAAGTGACTATGGGCAATTTACAACATCAAATGAAAGCTTGATCAGAAGTGTCATAAATTCTTTTATCAAAGCTTAAGCATTTCTGTCTTCCAATTTGAAGGGCTATCACTGGAAGATTGTGGAACCAGAATTTTTAAAACTCTACCAGATTGATCATGGGACAGATATGTAATAGAAATACAGCCACTGAATCATAAGCTAACCACAAAGGCTTTTTAGGGGAAAGCATGGTAGTCAATAATAGCAAAAAGATCAGGAATCTGGATATACCCTTTCTGACTAACAAATATTATTAAAAAGCATGGGGTTTTTGTGAGCTGCAGCGGACTACATCAGATGCACTATACATCACCCAAGTCATTCTATGCATTTGATTCTTTCTGATTAACCACAAAAGTTGAATTTGCAAAACAGATTATTGGGCTAATGGGCTAAAAAATGGCTGCCTAATTTATGGCTCAGTGTGCTATAAGATCAGTCACTGAAACCAAAATATGACCAGGAAGGCTGGTAACTGAATGATAATGCCTATGCTTTGCATATGAAAAAGCCACAGTCTAATTTAAAGCCAGAGTCTTCAAGTAGCAGGCCTGGAACAGGCCTCTGCATGAGATCTTGGAGATGTGTGATGGCCGGAGTTTGACAGATTAATGCTATCAGTGATATGATCATGATTCATAGAGAAGTATGCCTGGTTTTAAGCCTAGTCTGTTAAATAAGCCACAATAGTAAAGCTCAAACCTACATTAAGCCATAGTCCACAATGGCTAAATTCATGTACCTAGATTAAGCCATAATTTGTGCTACCCTTGCTGTTGAAATTTCGGTGGTTGAGTTTTATTTAGTTATTCCATTTCTGCAACCATCCATCTAAGCCAGTATCTCTGGGTGGTTTACAGTTCTAAAAATATAAAAACGCTTAAAACATAAAATAACATGAATTTTCACATAATAGTGTGCCATATACTATGGTTAACAAACCTCAATGGCTGGACTTACACATTGCATCAAAAAAACAACAACAAATATTATGACTTTACATGGTGTGCCATTCATACATGTGTACTCATATACATATAAATTAAATGCCATTGCCAAGCCAACATTGATTCTGGCCAGTGGTTGAAGGAAAGAGCTTCTAACATTGCCGTTTCTTTTCATCCCAAAGGTAAAGACCTGGCGTATGCACATCTTCACCCTCACCCAGATTCTCTGCCTAGGATTGCTGTGGGGAGTGAAATCCAGCCCAGCCTCCCTTGCCTTGCCTTTTATACTCATTCTGACTGTCCCTCTTCGACGCTTCCTGCTCCCTGTCATTTTCAGAGACATTGAGCTCAAGTGTGTAAGTACTGTTGTGCTCTCTCTTCTCCCTCAGCAAAGGGAACTTCTTATAGAAAACTTATGTACATATTTAAGTATTTCTTTAAAAGATTTGTGTGGCTGCCCATTTTAAAGTGCAACTCTGAGTGGCATAACCTGCAGGTAAATAATGACAAATTAACTTTCCTGAAAGAAGACTTACCCACATCCAGAAAAGAATACTATGTGCACCTACAATTCATATAGCAATATATCCTCTCAAAACATCTGAAATGCAGTTGATGGTGGGCTCAAGAGGAGTATATCTATATTCAATTCCTATTTAAAGTTTGCAATTTCTTTCCATGAAATGCAGCCACAGCCATCAATATGAAGAGCTTTAAGAGAGAATTGGTTACCTTTATGGATAATAAGAATTACCAGTGGCAGAGCAGAACTGTATGTCTCTTCTAGAAAAAAAGGCTGCAGAAACGTGTGAGGCCACTAGTGTGTATGTGTTGTCTCTCAATTTAGCAGTTATAGTCGAAGCTTTTTTTTTTAAATTAGCATCTGAGATGGAGACTTTCTCACAGCCTACCTTGTAGTCATCTCAGAAGATCTCATGACCCCAATAATTTTCATGGCACCAATAACAATAATTTGTCAAAGCATACAAGTTAGAGGACACTCTCATGAGGTGTAGCCATATCCATCTTGGTCACTGCTGACGCCCAGGTGGAATGGATTTTTTTTTATCTCTGAGAAAGAGTTTTGAAGTGCAAGGCCAATTGATTTATGTGTTGGGCCCACACAACTCCTCACCTTGGATGCTTATATGTGTGTATGAGTGAGGAAGCCAAGAACAGCCTGTCTTTCTGTGTGGATATAATGCAAGATGAATTAATCTTTTTCCTAAGAGGCATAGTAGAAGCAGAGGTCATCATGCTTTTCCCTCCTACTGAACTTGGTGGGGGAAAATATGTATAATGTGAACTATACTTTGACTGGATTGGGGTAGTGGTGCTGCAATATAAAATAAATTAAAATATATCATAATCTTCTCCCATGATGCTATAGTTCCCACAATACATACTGTTGCCCTACAATAATATTTCCTCTATTGGAACAGATCTACTAGCAGAATGTTCATTGGCTTGGCTGTTCCATTAGCGTTATCTGTCACTATATGTGTCTCCTTTGAATTTTTATTGAATTTTAATGTCAATCAAAATTGTCTATAGGATTGCTCCCTTAGTTTTCCCCAAATTACTACCTAGTGCGTACAAAGTGGTTACTGCTTTTGTTAGTCATGGTGGAATGGCATGATTGAAGAAACATACTCACGTTGATATCTGGCAGCTCAGAATTAGATTGGGCCCAAAGCTCCTCTTGGTCTGGATCCAAAATTTGATGTATCTGAGAGAACACAAAGAATTTGCATTATTTTGGTCTGTGGTTATTTAGCGCAAGAAGGAAATTATCAATGAATTTCTGTGCACTTCAGATCATCCCTAATAATGAGGATGCACCACAACATAAGAATAAGGAACCATATAGGAGAGTTGAATATATATGAATTGGTGAAATAACAACATCAATTATTTGTTTGTTTAAGAAAATATATATGGCCGCCCAATTCAGTCTCAGTTACTCCAAGTGGCTTACAAGGATAAAAGCTCAATACAAAAACAATAAAAAATCAGTAACTTCCTATTCCCCAGCAACAACTATCAAGTGAGCCATTTGATGGGCTCCAAAGATCACCACACCCACAGGCAAAGTCACATTTTCAAGCCTTGTGAAAGAGTGCCAAGGTGGGGGCCAATTTTATTTTCGCGGGGATGATGTTTCATACGGTATAAGCCACCACAGAGAAGCCCCTTCTGCTTGGTCATGCTAGATGGAGCTCCTTATGAAAGGGAATCCATAACAATCCATGCACTGGTGGAGGGGGTAGATGTGACTGGGAAGACAGTCCTTCAAATAACGAGTTCCCAAGCCATGTAGGGCTTTGAAAGTGATAACCAGCACCATTATATGTGCCATTAAGTTGCTGTCAACTCTTATTGTCTACTTGAATATATTTTTCCATCACGATCTAAACGCTCAGCAGAAAATCATGTTTTGAGATTCAGTCCTGATATCTCCAGCTTAAAAGGAACTCAGCAGAAGGGTTGAGATAGATACCCCTGCCTTTTGGCCTTGGAGAGTTGCCATTTTTTAATCTCTAGTTCCATATTTAATCTTTAGGTGGAATGTCAGAGGCAATATTTTACAAAGTATACAGAGCAGGATGAAGTGGATGAAGACAGTATCAAATCTAAATTAGGTTTCATTGAATTAATTAAAATATAATTAACTGCAGTTATTACAGCTGTTTCCCATATAATTGATATTTTTCATTTCAGTTTTCAGTTTTTTACTGAATATTGGATTTTGTTGGTAACTTTTGGAGAGTCACTGAATGCACCTCCAAGGCTTGGAGAAAGCAGCTTTTACAAATGTAGTGCTACAGATTGCACACCAATGGAGTAAATAGTACTAGCTTATTAATTATCTGATTCTATATAAGCCGGCTTCATATATAATGACTATTTGAAACTACTTAATCCTTTGCAAAGGAAAAGAAATCAAGATTTTCAAGGTTTTAAGTATAACCAGGGCTTTTTTTGTCATAGAACGCCCAGAACGGAGTTCCGACACCTTTTTTGGATGGAAGCTTGTAGGGTAGGCAAGGCAGGTTGTATAACGTGTGTGAGTTCCGGCATCTTTTTTCTTTTCTTTTTTTACAAAAAAAGCACTGATATAACACTCTGTTTTCTGAGCCCCACTGAGCTTCTAAATGTATTTATTACTTTCCAGTTGGATTCTGATGATGCTGAGGTGACTTTTGATGAGACAGAAGGCCAAGATGTCTATGATGAAGTCCAGATGCCTATTTGAGCACCCAGCTGCTGCTGCCACTAGGCAAATGAAGAACCAAAAATTCTTTCCAAAAACACTGGATATCAGAATCTGGAGGAAGATATCCATATAGCTATATGAATCAGAGTATATATATATATATATATACAGTATATATACTGTATATATTAATTGCACATGGCCAAACATTCCAGTGGTGTAAATATATATGATTGTCAATCCATGGATCTTATAGGATTTAAGAAACATATTTTTTTCCAGTCAATTATAGTTCTATAGTGAATCTTAACATTTCTTTCTTAGGGTTTAGGAAATAGATGTATTTTCCCAGAAGGGGAAGAAAGTACCAAGATATGCAAGGATTGTTGAAGAGGTGATACATGTTAACAGTGGACTCCATTTTTAATGCAGCTATAACCCATATGCTTCTCTTCTGTATTTGTGTGTTTATGTGTGTATGTGTGAAGCTTTATCGGCCATAGAGGAAACCATCTACTTTTCTACCAAGATAAGAAACATTTTTATTACTCACATTGCTAGACCATATACACCAATGAATATCTGTAGACATGTTTCAAAAGAAATGCTGAAAACCCATCATTGTTCTCTGATGGACCATCAGAGCGGATGCTTCAGAATGCTAGAGTGGACTGAAGCTAAGGAGAAAAGGCAATAAGCTCTTTCTTAACCCCTGGAACTGTAGAATAGGAAAAAGCTGGAGCACGAAAGTGAGGCACAGAAGAAAGTGAGGCACCGAGAGTGCCATATTGGCAATGGAAAGAAGCAACAAACATAACCTCAGGAATGGAAGTGGCAGAAACATCAGGTTTCAAGGATGTGAAATGCTGACAGGTGAATCCAAATCCATCTCTGCCTGTCAAGTGGGGATGACACATTTGAAAAATTGGCTTTCTTGGAATGCTAGTCATCTTTTCCTTTGAAGATGGATTTCATTTTTTGTGAACTCATCCTACCACCTTTCCCGCTGAAATGTGAAGTATGGTAATATGATGAAGGCATCGTCCAAAAGTACAGTTCTGTCTTGGTTACTTTTGTTCCTTGCTTGTTCTTGTGGTTAGATTTTTAACAAATGCTATTGTTTTTTCTTTAAGCTGGCATCTATCTAAGTCCCTACCTGGGAAAATGTGCCACTTGATAAAAAATTAGTATATCCCAGATTATAATAATAAGACCTGTAAATTTGAAAGTGTAGGCATAAGTAACTACTCGATGCACATTAACACCCAGAGATTCTTAGCTTCCAATTAAATAGCAATTGCTATCCTTAAGAATAGAAAAAAAATGTGTAAATAGAAAAAAAATGTGTGAATCTCACCAATCAGCCCTTCCTTCCACCCTCTTGCTTATTAACCATTCCAACGTATTTAAGTATTCTTGCATCCAAGAAGCCATTCTAAGCTGCAAACAGACTTAATTTAGAGACTGTTATTGCAAAATAGGCTTTAATTTTTGCACGCCTTGATGTTTCACATGTGTCAATCTAATAATATATATATATATCAATATTGAACTTTCTTCCTCTCTCACTTCAAGTCTCTGTACTGGGTGTTGAGTCCTTTGAGTCCTCATTAACTTTTACTTGCCCAAACACTTTTCAAATGGTCTTTGGCAATCCACTTTTTCCTTTTTAGTAATGTCAAATGTTGTCCACTAAAAGTTTGTCTTCTTATGGTTTTTTCCACATGATTGTAGCAATAGTGATGAATATAGGATCTATATTAATGCAGGATCTATATTAATGCAGTAGGTTCCCCTTCTTCCTTAGAATATTTGAAAATATTTCTCATGGTGGTATGAATTCAATGCTGGTAACAGTCATTTCAGCAATATTATTATTTGTTATTTCCTAAAAATAATAAAGGTGCTAAGCTCAACAATATCTGGAGTCCTTGAACTTGTCAATGCCCACCTTCTAATCCCAGACATGCATAGACTACTATAGTGCTGCGTTATGAGTGAAAGCTTTCTGTGCATGACGAAGATGCTTTCTCTTTATTATTTTTCATTATCCAGAGTGAATCATGGTTCTAACCATGCACTGCTTAACATTAATTTGATTAGGAGAAGGTCTGGAGAAAAAAAACGGTAATATTTTCTCTTGCAATGCATAAACAATTTATGAAACTTATTGCCCCAAAGTATAAAGATGGACATTAGCTTATGTGGCATTAAATAAAGGATTTGGTATACAGTATAAAAAGTGACCACATCCGTATGTATTAGTCATGACAGCCAAATGGAACTTCCTTCTTCAAAGATATTATTGCAACACAAATTAATAAGATGACCATTGTTATTGTGTCCTTCATGTGAACTTCTCAGTTTGTAAGTGTTAAAAGGGGGAAAAACTGGTATTCTGATCTGTGGGATTTTTATATTATTAAAAGAGAAAGAAAATCAAAATAAAAAAATATATTTAGCCTTGGAACCATTGGCCAGACCCTCTCCCTGATAAAATTCTATACAAAAATTTCAGTTTGAATTAGTAGAAAGCCACTGTATCCTGAAAGCCATTTTATAATCATTGTTAATAACAAACTACAGGGATTCTTATTCTACATTAATTCTGTAGTATCATTTGCATTGCTATTTATGCCTATAGGGGGTCTAGATGGATTTCTTTGTCTTTATTAACAGTGCAACAAATACAAACTCATCAACTAAACCCAGCGTGTCACAATAGGCAAACTGTATCTATAGATATCTGGTATACCATGTTTTTTTTTATTCTTATTCATTAGATTCTTCCAGGAGTTCAAAGTGACATGCATAATACTCCAATAATACTCCAACAATCTTGTGATGTGGGGTGGGCTGGGCTGAAAAATAGTAGCTGACCAAAAGTCACCCTATAAATTTCCATGACCAAGGATGGCTCTCATCATAGCCCTAATAATCCAACACCTTAATCACAATACACTGTCTCTCAGTTATTAACACATTATAGATATAGGATCCCCTTTCCCCACAGTAGGAATTTCTTTATAACTAAAGGTGTACACTACTTTAGTGATAATGGGCTTTTATAATTTATTAAAAATCATATTTAATATTCCATTTGCTTTGCTATCTCTGTTGTATCAGATTTTTTTTAACAAGGGCAGCAAGAAACAAGATCTTGGGATAACATGCTGCATTTATTTTATGTGATCTTATTTTGATTTAGGCATGATTAAGCCAATATTATTGCAATGGTTTTCTTGTTTTGAGCAATACCAGAAGCAATAAATCTATTTTTTAAAATAAGAACAAATAAGCTGTTCTTCATCTATAAATAATACTTGAAAAAAGTATAATTCTGTGATTTAGTGCTCCCCTCATGGCCTTCTCAATGGAAATTGGTTAATGTTCCTCTAACAGATTGGTGAGATAACAGTCTTGTTTCTATTTCTAGTGCTAAATGAAGTTTTACAGTCTACCAAAACAAAGCTAGAAGAGAATGAGAAATCACATCACACAAAAAACCTAAATCTTAGGAATTATAGCCAGTCCTGATACTTTATAAGCAGTTGTTGCTATTAATGGGAGGAGGAGGAGGAGGAGGAGGAGGAAGAAGAGTACCAGTAATTTTATATACAGGAGCATTTAATCACCTAAGTTCACATTCTCATCTGTGATATAATATCTACTGAAATTACAATGAAAAGAATCTGAAGTTACCTTTTTCCCAAGATAAATTAAAATATTAAAAAGGCAAAGGAGTCCATGTGGATTTTACTCCATTTCAAGGCCATTCAGCCAGCACTGCCCAAAGACATTTCTGCGGTCATGTAGCCAGCATGACATTACGGAATGCTGTTACCTTCCCACCAAAGTGGTACCTATTTATCTACTTGCATTTGTATTCTTTCAAAATGCCAGATTGGCAGGAGCTGGAGTGAGGATGGGAGTTTGGATCACAAACCTGGCCTGCCAGCTGACCAACAAGCCCAGCATTTTAACAGCTGAGCCACCATGCCGCCCATAAATTAAAATTAAAATATGGGGAAACATTAATAGATGTAGTACTTGCTCCCCCGTCAAAGCAGGACTTATTTGATTAACAATATTACATACATTTTAATTTAGTGTATTATAATGACCGACATATTTAAGAAATTTTCAGTGAAATCTTGTATACTTCTGAGAATGCCTCTTTCCCATTGTTTCTGCTCACCAAAGCAGTCTAGCAGGGAGGGTATGCTCCAGTCCCCTTCAGCAAACAATTCTATCTTGTCAGACCCTGGAGTTGTGCCATCTCTATGACTGCATCTGCCTTATGGAACATCATCCATCCAGAGATATGGATAAAGCTCTGAAGACCTAGGCTTTGAAGTTAGGCAGTTAGGTGAGTTTTGTTGGTGATATCTTTTTGTTTTGGAAGTTACTGTTTAACTTGATGTCATGAATTTATATAGTTATGGTGGTTTTAAACTTTTCAATGCATCCAGAGTCACTGCTGTGAAATAGGTGGCTCTATAAATCATCTAAAAACATAAATATAAGGTATTCTCATACCCTGGCAGTACAAAGAACCCTGCCTTAAATGATAAATGTACTTGTGGGAACACCTATTGTTAATAAAACTAAAGAAACCATTTCAGATTTAATCCAGATATCTGGATGTGGACTGGAAAACGCTACATTACTAATACGCAACCAAAGTATTGAGTGGAATCTGAAATGTTGTAGCCCAGACCTAGAAATATGGCAAGCCACAAGCATAATGAAAAATGCTATGCATGATATGGGGCAGGACAAAAATTGTGGTGTGCCACTCATTTAGTGGTTTAACATTTCATGCAAACAATAATTTAGTGTGAAGAGGGAATGGTCTTGAGGACTAGGAGGAAGAGCCACTACCATGATTACAGTCAGATAAAACAGGGCTGAGTCTGAGGTAGAAATGTACCCTGAGAAAATATCTCAGATAAGATTTTCCCTAGTTTTACAAAAGTAAGGTGGGGGGAAGGTGCATTTAAAGTAATGACATCATATACTCTAACCTTGTAAAAATAGTTTTAGCCTACAAGATTTTGGTTTTATACTCTGATCTACTTTGAAGGACTGATACTTGTCTGGGATATTAAAACCCACAAAATACATGTTCCACCAATTTACTGCAAACCATTATAAACTCCCATACATACAACTCCAAGTATGGATCAAGTATATATATACCATTGTCATAATTAAAAAAGGACCAAATAGACAAAACACACGAAATTATCAACAAAGGAATAAAATTCCCAAAGGAAGAAGAAAACAACATCACATTATCTTTATGGATATCCCCATCAGCAGAGGCAGAAAAGTCAATTGTAAAATTACTCACACCAACCAAGTGCTCCATTACTAAAGTATCAACCCAACCTCCCACAAGAGAAGCTGTGTAAAAACACTATTTAGACTAGCACAAGCACACTGCAACAACCCAGACCATCAGAAAAAGGAAACAGATAATTTATACAATGTCTTCCAACAAAATGGATGCCTGTGCAACTTTATCGAAAAGTGCCTAAATACTTAACCTATCATAGCACAAACAACACAAGCTGTGAAAAGAATAACACTGCCGTATATTTAAAACATCTCAGAAACCACTATCAAACTATTACAATCACATAGCACCACCATAGCATAAAAACACCTAAAGGCCTCCAAAACATCCTAAGTAAACCAAAAGACCCAGAGCCCCAGAAGAAAAAACATCTACAATATGCAGTGTAAGGACTGTAACAGCCACTATATAGGACAAACAAGCAGAAGACTAGCAGAGCACATACATGAATACTAACTAGCAGTCAGAAAACATGACAAAAGCTACTTAATATCGCAACATATGGACAGACGCAACCATGGCTTCAACTAGGAAACTGTGAGCATCCTAGATCAATTCAAGTCCCAAAACACCAAAGAATTTCTGAAAGTTTGGTAGTCAGACAAATCAGCCATCAACAGGCACATAGAGATAAATACCACTCAAAAGAGACAATCAAAAAGTCAAAACGAAAATCAAAATACCAAAACACTTTCCCACCACAATCAACACTTATATAAGCAGAGAGTAACATCAAGATTAACACTTGACCAACAATCAAGAAATAAACAACAGCCTAGTCAAGAAACTACCATGACCATCCCCACCAACAATGACAGGGTAAGCCAATTAGTATATAAAAATAAGAATAAACTCCACTCTCTACTAGCACTAATGATGTTACCTAGTTTGATAATGAAATGTCTGCAAAAAAACCACCAAGCTTAAAAAGCACCAAGAACCCTACAGTTCAAACCTAGGCTACAAATATTCTCTTCTGTAAGGTGCCAGTCCCTTACTTGAACTTGAGATATCATATCAATCTAATCAGATAACCCAAGCTGAGACTTCTTGATCAAGCAGCACTTTATTTGATCAAATTAAGCAGCTGGGTGGCAAACAATCTGGAACACTGGCAGAGTTATGTCCAGAAGTGCCACGCTTTAGAAAGTTAGTAGCATTGCTTTATAAATTGTTAGCCAATGAAAATCAGACAACAGAGCCATTACATCATAAGGAAGACATCAGTCATTCCTGTACACTCCCTTATTCCCTCCTTCAGTACATCCCATTCCATGTACATGTTTCCCACACTTGCATGAGATTTCTCTGGTGCAAAAGCTGATTACAAAAAGCAAGAAAGCAACAGACTAAACAATTTCCCTTTATTCCAGAACCTTTCACTTCTATCAGAACTACAAACCAGGCAGGGACTTCTAGAATAGGGTCAGTGGAGTCAACAAGATGGTGGCTGTAACTGTGCAATTAGAAAAAATGCTGTTTTTTAACATGCATTGAAACTCATTTTGTTTTTTTTAATTTCCACCCCATCCTGATACCCCTGAACTCTGACTGCAAATATCAGAGCATTCAGTGAAGTGTAGATCAGTGTTAGGCTGCAGAAGCTGAACCCACTGAAGACAACCCAGGGTATTCAGAAGGTGCAGGCAGAAATAGGCAATGAGATAGATAAGCTGAAAAATAAAGAAAAAGCATGCATACACTTGTTCTCATCTTATCTCCTCCCATAGTTCTTGTGCAGAAACAACCTGCTGGCTGAACTCCTCGGAAAAAGAGGAAACTATAATAACAATTGTAAATTGCTAATATGAAATACCAAGAATGGATTAGCACTTGGAGTCTCCATGCAGATGATAAAGAAAATGTTGACTTTTAAACAATATTAGCTTTTTAAAAAAGAATTATTTACAGTTGTTTATTGAAAGAAAGCAATTGTGATCTTATTGGCAATATCAACTAATAATATCAGAGGACAACCTGTGATCAGACTTCCCTTCACAGTCATACTAACAA